TTCTTGTTTAGTGAAATTATAGCTCTGCACTTTTCATTAGACAGACATTTTTACCGCTTCTTATTTAGTGGTATGATGAGCTGCACACTTTCATTATACAGACATATTCTATTATGTGAGTATTTCCTTTTTTTTTTTAAAAAAGGATGATCGGTTCCGGGTGTATATCTTCAGACCGTGAGTACATTTATTTTAAATGCTTTATAAAATTATATCCTACTGGGCCTTTCGCTCACCTTTTCCTGTTTTTAAATGTATTAAACCCCTCCAGGCGACGCGAGGAGTAGTGCGGAGTAGGTAGCTACTACCGGTGACGTGGACTTGTTTCAGAAAAGTGAAGAGTTGTATTTCCTCTTATCTTTTATTTTAAGGCATGTATAAGAGATTATGAATTGTAAACTTAAATATTACTAGATTGTGGTTGATGTCATATTTACTTTTGTTTATGTTCATGTATGCTAAACACCTGTGAGAATTCCTGACATGATACCAGGGACATGATTTTAGACTGGATTGGTTGGAAATTCCACCACCGTTCTTGAAATTAAATTTCTCTTGAATGCAGGGGCTCGTTTGGAAATACCTGGATGTTTTGGATTTGAAAGAAATTAAATTATTTTGCTAATCACTCTCTCTCAAATCTAAACGAGCCTCCACGTCACTAACCCCGATTTAGAGGCGTGACAGGGTGTAAGTGTTTTCATCATATAATTAACCTGCAACCCCTATAAACACCATTTTTTAATATAATTATTTAATTAAAAATGTATTAATCAAGATTAAAGAATAAAAATTATGGTCGATGTATTGTAAGATTTCACGGGGAAAAGCGCAATACTTGGACTCCTAATTAGTTCAGGGCCTACAGGCCCAAAACCATAATAGAGTTGGGCCATGAGGAAGATGATGAATAGACGGGAAGGCAGCAAAGGCCCAATGGTAGGCTGAATTCGGCCCACGAAAGAAGCCCAAACGACTACGCGACGTACGTTTTCTGAAAGGTCAAACCAGTTAAATGAAAATGCCGCAATGACGAAAATAACCGCCAATATTTATGACGTTGGCGCAATTACCCTTCCATTTCAATCTCACATTTTTTCCCCTTTTTGGATCACACTTGAGGACGTTTGTATTTAAAATTATAATTCAGAATAATTTTTATTTTATGTGTATATTTTTATGAGAAAAATATTATAAAAAATTATAAATCATAATTTAGAATTAAGAACGAATATAGAAAATAAATATCCCTTTAACGTTTAGTTCATAAATTAAAATTATAAAATTAAAACTATTTTTAATTTACGTATTTTTTATAAAAAAAAATACTATAATTAATCATAAACTATAATTTAAATCATCACGTGAATCTCCTCGGCAAACCTTTTTCTGCGAATACAATATCTCACTTTTGCCTCGTTGCCAAAAAAAAAAAAAAAAAATGAGGTTAGCTCTGTCTTGTAGTTTTCCCTGCGAATGCAATATCACTATATCACACTCGTCCGTACAATTTATTCTTCTTCTCCCTCTTCTTCTTCCTCGAAACAATCTTTAAATGAAAACCTTAATATCCCAAAACCTAACTATCAATCGTTGGAAACCTCATTTACCATGTCCGTTTTTTCTCTTCAATTTTCCTTCCCTTTCTCGGGAAAATCGGAACCTTTTGGCGATTTCTCACAGAAAATGGCCCTATAGACCAGGAGTTCTCAGACTCTCCTTCGTCAGAGCTAATTGCGTTTCTGAGTCGGCGAGTTATGGAGGCTGGGACAATTTGGTACCGGTTGGCGACTCGGACCATTCTGGTGAGGCTGAGGCTTATCGGTTTCGTAATTTTCTCGTTTCTATAGGAGTTGATGATAGGAAGCATATTTTCACATTTATTTTGGGTCTAATGTGCGCTTTGGCCATTTCTAGGGTTAAAGTTTCTTCAATTGTTGTGTTTCCAGCTTCTGTGTTGGTTTTTGCTGTTGGATTTTCGTTTGGGCTTGTTCGTGGTGGGGGTTTAGATGAATTGAACTATAGTGGGAATAAGAGACGGGTAAAAGATGAAACTTTTAGGGCTTACGTTGATAGGTTTAGGAATTTGGTGGAAGTTGTTGATGATTTTGATGTTAAAGTTAAAAATCTCAAGTTTAGAGTACAGAAAGCTATTGATTCTAGACAAATTACTGTGAATGATCTGGAAGATTATACTAAGGTATTGGGATCCATTAGTTTATCTGCTTCAAAGGCGAAGAATTCCATTGAGGTTTCTACCGAAAATTTGAGTAGTTCTAATGTTATTTTAGCTGAGAATCAGAAGTCAAATAAAAGAGAGAGAGAGCTTGGTGAAATTGGCAGTGACTTTTTCAAGTCTATTGGGGGCTTGTTTAAAGAGAATATAGTTACTCCAAAGCCAATGAAAGCGAAAAATAATGTTAAGCGAGAGACTATGGAGGATGATCAAACTCGTGGTGATAATTTATTCCCTTCTGTTAAAGAAATGGTGTTGAATCCGGTTAATGCCAATAAACATAGAGCAAATTCTGTTCTCGCTCAAAATTCAACAACTGAGCTTCCTTTTGATGAGGATGGATATGGAAGAATGAGAAATGGGAAAATGAGTTGGGAGGAGATCAGTAGATATGGCAACAGATTTAACTATAGCAAAGAGTATGGTTACGAGAATAAGAGATTGCAGTTAGTGAATAATCGCCGCATCTCTTTGAAGATGGGCCGTGATGATCAAATTAATACTTTGGAGTCTAATGATAATCTTCTCGAGTCTGTAAATTTTAGTATCAGGATGAAGCACATGGAAACTGAAGCTTCCTTTTTGCGAGAGCAGAAGCTTGAGAAATCTGATGACATTTACAGGTCTTCTTCTCGTATGAGAGAGGAAAGCGAGTATAGTGCCAACGGATCTCCATTGGTAGAAGATAGTGTGAATGGCAAAGATGATTCCTATGTGGCCGGTCAGCTGTCTGGACATGAGAGTGAGATACCTTCCACTTCATCTTCAATGGTTTCAGACGATGTGGTGTTTGACCGGTATCTTACAGAAGCTAACGACCTGCTTCAACAAGCAAAGGAGTTCATGAGAGATGGACACGAAAAGGATCGTGCAGAGATCATATTATACAAGTCTGCCAAGCTTCTATCAAACGCCATAGCTATGAAGCCGGCGAGCTTGTTGGCTGTTGGGCAATTGGGTAATACTTGCCTTCTTCATGGAGAGCTAAAACTAAGAATTAGTCGTGAGTTGAGAACACTACTTTACAGAAGTAGTCCATCTGTTGGAAAATGGGATAGATTACGCAACCAAATGGGGAGTAAAGACGACATTACATCTGCCCTCATTAATGTCTGTGAAGAGTGTGAAGAACTCCTGGTGGAAGCAGGGAGAAAATATAGGATGGCTTTGTCCATTGACGGGAATGATGTTAGGGCCCTGTATAATTGGGGCCTTGCTCTCAGTTTCCGTGCACAATTGATTGCGGATATTGGCCCGGTAAGTATTCTTCTCAACTTTATCACCATATTCATTGTGATGACTTCTATATAATTGCTTTCCAAAAAGGAATTCACGCAGATCAGCTTGCTCCGTAAAATTTCCATAATATTCAGCCAACGCCTGTTTATTATGATGGTTTGGCATTTAAGGCTTTCTAAGTCATGTCTTCCCTTTTTTTTTCTTTTTTTTCTTTTTTTAAATTTTATAAACCAGGAAGCTGCTTTTGATGCGGACAAAGTTTTCATGGCTGCAATTGATAAGTTCAACGCTATGATGTCGAAAGGCAATGTTTACGCACCCGATGGTATGTCTAAGTTTGTCCATTATTGCCGTTCTTCATTGTCAATAACAAGTTTCTGAGCATCAGATTTAGTTTGATTCCAACCCGATATATGAATGACAGCCTTATTCAGATGGGGCACGGTACTACAGCAGAGGTCTCGATTGCGGCCAAGTAATAGTAAAGAAAAGGTGAAGTTGCTGCAACAGGCAAAGAGGCTGTATGAAGACGCATTGGACATGGACTCGGACAATGTCCAAGTTAGAGAAGCCTTGTCCACGTGCATATCTGAGCTTAGCAGTAGATACTTCTAGCCATTGGAAGAAGACTCAAAAATTGTCCCTACATATCCCCGCGTTTTATCCTCCGTCTCTCTTTTCTTTCCTTCCACAAAAAAATTTTGTGCTCGTTTGATCCATTTGTAAGAAAATAAGATTAGTGTCAAGCGGAGCGAATATAATAAAGATGCATCTCCTTCCTCCATTCTCCAGTTCCCCAAATAAGTGTTCTTTTTGCAGTTTGGATAGGTTCACGGGAGACAACTTGGTATCGTATTCAAACAAAGCATTGGGATGCTTGCAATTTGAGTGTGATACCGGGAGATAATAGGAAAGATCTCCGAAATGTGTCTGAAACTACTGTGACTTGTGAGACCAAATAATGGCGTGGCTGATTGGCCCGCTGAGTAGTAAAAAAAGGCAGATTAACTGAAGTTTTTCCTTTTTGGTTAATAATACTATTTGGAAACTTGAATATGATGTTGCTTTGTCCAACCTCCATTAAATCCATGCCTCACTATTCTAAAGATCTGACCTGACTCGTGTAGTCACTCATAAAATTTGCAAGAATAATGCTAGGTTACTCAAATTTCAACTCCTATCCCTATGTATCAACCTCGCATATCAATTATTATTTTTACATTAATAGTTGTTTAAAATATTATTACGCTAACTAATAATAAAATATTGCATGTATCAATAAATAAATAACAATTCACGTGCCATATCAATTGATATTCATAACATTACTCATTTTCCAATGTTCTCATCATATCATTATTTAATCCATGTAAGTTTCATTTTTAATTCTAGTTTCCGTTACATTGTTACATGATTACATGGTATCATAATTACATAGTATGAGATTTTTCTTTGTTACGATTAATCGTGACATCGAGTTTAGGCTTTCTTTTTCCCGTTGTGTTTCCGCATGATTTTTATTTTTTAAGCAAATCTGTAACCAAGCATTAAAGATGAAAAATTAAGTCTTAGCATAACATAAGAAACCCTTGTATCAAATCAAAACGTCGTTTGATTCGAGGATTTTTTTTTTCTCATTTACGTCCACATAGTATAGGACAGGACTAAAAGGGCGGTACCAATAAAGCAGCAGAAAATCCAATATTTGAGCTCGTAAAAGAAGGCTGCCAGCATTATATTCATCTTTTTGTATCTTATATAAGTTCAAAGACTAACTTAAAAAGAATATATATTAGCTGGTTTTACCCTTTTAAAGTTCAATTTTCTTTTAGTTTATGGGTTCTTCAGTGCTATCCCATTAAATTCAAACGTTCCCGGAAAACTTTCAACATTCCAGCAAATGTTACAATGCCCATCAAAGTCCCATCCGCTTCCACAACCCACATATAGCTCAAACGGTGAGCTAGAGCCTGAACCATCACAGCCACCAACGAGCTCCAAGGATGGCAGACAATGGCCTCCGACCTCCTCACCATCCTCGCTGAATTCCCTCCGAACCTCCCGCTCTCCTCGTCCGACGAGGAGGAACATAACGAAGACGACGACGAGATCGTCGAGTAGTCTTCCTCCATCAAATCCAATAAAGCCCCACAATTCCTCTCCTCCAACCTGTCCTTCACAAGCTGTACCAGATCCTCTGGCGGACCGCCACAGTCAATGTAGGCCATCAGATCGCCAGCCGAGAGCGTGGCTATTGCGGCTGCAACCGTCTCGTCGCAGGAGTTGAGCGTGAAGGGCGAGATCTCCCCGATCAGCTTGCTGTCTGTGTCAACCACCGCGACCGAGGTTTGGCAGACAAGGGCCTGGGAGATTAGGGGCAATGTGGAGGCAGCAGGGTCGTCGTAGTTGACGGCAAGGATGTGTTTGCTGTCGATGAGGTTGAGGGCGTTGATGGGGCTGGCCGGAATGGGACTAAACAGGCCAATGCAGTTGAGGAGGTAACGGATGATGTCTTCCTGGGTGATCCAGCAGTACTCACGGTTATCGTGGCGCGCGGAATTGAAGGAGGGTTTTTGAAGCAGGTTTTTCCTTGAATTGCTTGAGCTACTTCGGGTTTGGATTGGAATGACTAGGTTCTGTGCTCCTTCCAGAATAAGATCTACGGCCTCCAATAAACTAAAAAATCATAACAATCCACAAAATCAGTTACCACCCCAGTTTACAAAATTAGTAGATAATAATAATATTATGTCTTGTTCTTTACAACTTGATCAACATTTCTTGCTCTTTTTGTATTATTTTTTGTTGTTGTTTTATTTCGTGTTAGTCTAAGGTACAACTTGATATTATCTGCACATTCAAATGGGAAAAAAAAAAAAAGAATCAAACTTTGATTAGTCTTAAATAGCGCAGGGATTTTTTTTTCTTTCTTTTTTTAAGGGAAGCAGGCATGAATTGTAATTTGTAAATGGTAAACAAAAAAATACTCTCTTTTATTTTTGTGGTTCCAGAGGAATTACAAATCCCAAAACACAAAAAGATGCATATGATTGAATCAGCTCAAATTTCTAATCAAGAAATGCCCTGAAAGAATAGCAATCAAAGAAAAAAGAATCGTCATTATCTATTTAAATCCCCTTTAATAACAATAACAAACAAAAAACCAAAGAACAAATATTTTGACCAAATCAAACCAAACTATTAATTCAATCGCTAGTTATTTAATTAAAATAAGATAATTACAAACCAACCTGGCGTTTGGTTCCAAATGCCTGACGAGTCCAGGAACCTTCGGAATCAGAACCAAGACCGAAGCCTGGAGCGCCGTCGCCGGTGACTTGAGGTTTTCTTCCTTGCAGAGGAAGCAGATCGCATCGGCGACACAAACTTTCCCAACGCAGCGGCAATTGCCGGCGGAACCTCCGGTACCGATTTTGGAAGAGTGGTCGCAGCTCCAGACGCTCAGATAGGTCTGACCGAGCCTCTTCAGCGCCGACAAGGCTTCGCCGACGGTGGCGGTGACAAGAAGCGCCCTAAGCGCAGGCTTTCCAAGGCATAGATCGGACACCTCGCGAGCTAAGAGATTCACTGCCATGCACTGATAAAGATGAAAATGGAGAGAGAAAGAGAGAGATTTGGAAATTTGGAGAGGTCGGAGAAGATGGAGGATTCTAGAAAGAGAAACAGAAGGATGTTGTTGTGGTGAAGGAGAAAGCGAGAGACGTAGGAAAATATCGGGGTTTTTAGGGTTATTTCTTGTCTTGCTTTATAGGCGGCGATGTTAACGGGGTTTACGGGGTATAGCCGGTCATTCCGGTAATTGATATTTTGTTTATGAGGTGGATCATCCATCAGGTCCCTCCCACCGACGACCTTTCTACTTTTTTGTTTTTTTGTTTTTTTATGATTGGAAATTGGAATAAAGTTTTCATGGAATATTCTTATCCATACGAGGAAAAAAATTCTATTGGTAAATTAGGATTTCAGATTTTTATCCCAGGTTACGTTACGACCATTTTATAATGCAATAATACCTTTGACGATTTAGAATTAACTTAGAGCTGAGGGAATTAAAATCTTTATTTTATGATGGAGTCAGATATAAAATTATCGTTAAATTATGTACATATCTATTAAGAATTATACTTTATGGTAGAGTATTTTTTTATATCTTATCGTAAAAATCTTCATCGGAGTTAATTTTATAGAGAATATAAATACAAGAAAAAGTTATAATAAATTACATGGTTCTTTTCGAATTATAGTCTTATCACAAAATGCTTTTAGAATTTTAATTTATAACATTCATTCTCCCTAAACATCATAACTTTTATAAATTTTCTCTTTTGTTCAATTTTTAACAAAAAAATGACACTTAGCACTCATTTACATACTTAAAAAAAAAAAAAAATCGAGAAGCACTCAATCATATATGCATTACCTAAAAAAATAAATTTATGAACTTTGAATGATAAGACTGCAAAATATAATGACGTATTTGTAAACCTCAAAAGATTTCCACCATATAATGAGCCTAAAAAAAGAGTAATTGCAAAGAAAGAAAGATGACACATAAGAGCTTTTAGTTACAAACTAATAAACTTGCAGTTAAGCTTTGTTTTAAGGAAAATAAAATTTTCCGTAGCAAAAAAAAAAAAAAAAGGAAAATAAAATTCATTACTTGCAAAAGTCAATTCCTACAGCTATAAAGATGTAGACATGGCTAGTTGTTGCGACATTATCACCCATAAAAATGTATCTGTATGAATGATTGATCTACATTATAATATATAACACTTTATAGACATTGTGTGGTTGGATATTTTCTCGCCATAAAAATTGTATCTGCATTTTATAACATATACTTTTTATTCCTCTGAAAAAAGAAAGTCCATTCTTGTTGTGCTCTTTTAATTCCAATAATTTTTTCTTCTATAATTTAACTTATATTTTTAAATTTGCAGGTCGGAAATGATGCCCTTAACAACCCAGTGATCTTGTGATCTTATGTCGTTTTTCTTCTTTCAAACAATTAAATAAAATTTACTTATTATTTTCTAACATGGCGTGATTTATTCTTATTTACTCTTTGCATAAAAAAAGACATTATTTAGTTGAATTTCTTTTCATTATCTTTTTGATATTCTCTCTACTAAAAAAACATTTTATAAAATTTTATTGTCACGCTTAACAAAATTATTATCACACCGATCAAATATTTTATGGCGCACCATCACTTTTTTTTTTTACCTAATAATTTTTTTTTAAAAAAGATCTGATAAAGAGATATTCTGCTCCTTTATTCAACTATAAATTTGGGTCAATAGCAGAAGTTTATATCAACTTAAGAGTGGGAAAATAAAACTAAAACGATCAATTTAAGGGGGAGGTAAATTGATAAGAGTGGAATAAACGGATTGGATACTTCTCACATGTATCAGAGCAGCAATACGATTTTCTGGGAATAGTTCTTGCTTAATCGGGTTTTTCCTTTTTGTTTGTGGTCTGCACAATTGTGCCTCGTGCAAAATTGGTAAGTGGCCTATAGATTCGTGCCACTTTTTGAAGTTTTTTTATTTTTTTTTATTTTTTATTTTTACTAATCGTTGCTTTTGGAGTTCGTGGAGTTTAAGATTCTGTTCATTTCGCTGATTCAAATTTAGAATTTAAATTTTGTTACAGTAAAAAGTTCTCAGAAACAGTCACATTTAACTTTTTTACTACAGTAAAAGACTCTCATATAATATCACATCTCAACTCGAATCAGCGAACTAAATAAACGAAATGGTGTCGATCTTTGATTTCTTTGCCCCTAGTCTATTTTGGTTTCGTCAGTTTGTTTTCACCAAGGCCATATACACGCATGGATCGAAGAACTTGAAACGATTTTTCTTTGCGCAGCCTTTTTGGGATTTTGCGTCGGCAACTGTGAGGTTTTTTTGTTTTTGCACTATGACTGGGATTAGAGATGATTCTCTTCAGTTTTTTATCCGCCATTTAGTTTATGAATTTAAAATTATAATTTATTATTATAATTTTTAAAATTTAAATTTTTTATAAAAAAAAATACTGTAAAAAATTAAAAATTATAATTTAAAATTAAAAACGAACTTTTAAAATAAACATTCTATTAGTGTTCAATTAGATGGAAAGAATTATTCGTATGGAGTTATGTGACGAAGAATTTTTTGAAGGGTAAAAAGATGTGGGGTTATATCACAGGCACATCAGTCAAGTCTACAGACAAAAAGGATACTGATTATGGAACAACGTTGGATTCTTAAGAAGCAGATAATGCAAAGATTATTACCTGGATCAATAACTCTGTCGTACATTCGATTAGCACTCAATTGCCCAAGTATGAGATTGCGAAGGTGGTCTAATTTTGTGAAACAATATCAATTAGGGACTGATATTCGCACCCTTCAACAGAAAAATATGACTATTCAAGAATTTTATTCTGCTATGACCGACCTATGGGACTAGTTGGCACTTACAAAATCAGTTGAACTACGGGCTTTTGCTCCTTACATCACCCGCAGAGAAGAACAACAATTAGTTCAATTTTTGATGGCCTTTCGTGATGATTTCAGAAGTTTTTGACATCATTTTTATTTTATTTTATTTTTTAAAAATGAAAAATAGAGAAAATTATAAAAAAAAAAATAGAATATTTATTAAAAAATTGTGCCACTTATTGCATTAATTCTTAAAAATCGTGTATTAATTTTAGAATATAAAACATAAATAAAAATATCAATTTTTGACCAATCTCGGTCCTTAGACGCCCCATTATACGGGCCGGGGGCTTTTTAACATTGTTTTTCTCGCAATCCTCTTCCTTCTGTGGATTCGGTAGTTAGTGAATCATTGGCAGAAGAGATACGTCTTAAGTCTCAAGCAGGGACGGATATTCTACCATCATCTAATCCATCTGTCTTCGCAGTACCTCCAAAAGCACAATCAAATAATGAGAACAAACACCAAGCAAAGGTCATAATTGATGAATGTAGTTTCTGTCATCAGAAAGGTCACTAGAAGGCTCAATGCCCTAAGTTGTTGAATAAAGCACCACAACAGCAAATACAACAGCATGAGTCTCCTCAATGGAAATTTGAAATTCAAACGCAACAAGTAACCTACAGGCCTCATCAACCAAATACTGCAGCTGTGGTACCGCCGTTAGATTCATTTGTTTTTGGAGCCTCCTCATAGCCTCCTCATCTCCTAATCCTGCAGTTATTGCCATGGCTGAGCAGTTTCAGAAGTTCCTTGCTAGCAACCACACGTTTTGTCTGCATTCTTAGATTTACCATCTTAGGCCACGTTCAGTTAAGCTATTCGAGTTTTCAATTTGAGCTGAGATGTGACTTTATGTGAGAGTTTTTAACTGTAGTAAAAAAAATTAGATGTTATAAGAGCTTTTAACTGTAACAAAATTGAAATTGGTGAAATGAACAATATGTCTTATACTCCACAAAAATCCGCAATCCCAAAAGCTGATTGGGACAAGCCCTAGACAAGTTATTTGTTCTTTTTGCATTGGCATTGGCATCGGCATTACAGAATTGTTTATGAAGTCGCATTTCAATTTTTTAGTTTGTTTTAGTTTTTTGTTTTTAGTTGACAAACTTTTGATGTTTTTTGCAGTCGCATCATGAATTTGAGAGTGGATGTTAACGATATTTATCTTTATTTTAGAGTTAGGAATGATAATTTGATCATTTGGTTATTTCTCTTTTTTAGTAAGAGTAAAGTAGTCTTTTATTATTATGCTTGTATGGTTATATAAACCCCTCTTTGTTAGTTTATTCTTTCTTTGCAATTGTAATATAACTTTGGCATTACAACTCTCTTTTATTTTTCTATTTTGCATTGGGTATGTCTCACATTTGGTAATTGTAATGTCAAGCTGAAGAGACGTGAGAGGATTTACTTGTGCCCAAAGGCTTGTTTCTAATAGGGAGAACTTGGAGCTGGAGGCTGTCATTCAACTGGAAATTCAAGAAATATTCAGCGCGCTTGGAATCAATTTTGTTTTTGTTTTTGAAGACAAAAAAATGAGATTGAGGGAGAAAAAAATGTAAAAAAAGGGAAAAAATTTTCATTTTTTAGTTTAGTGTAAAATCACTTAGAAAAGGAAAATGATTTAAAGTTATTTTTCATTTTTTATTTCCATTTCTTTAGGCAGATGTCTTTTTTTGGGCAGGTGGGTGAAAATTATATAATTAAACGGAGTTTTAATTTCTTCTTAAACTGAAAATAATTTCTTAATAAAATTATTAAACTCATTTTCAAGAACGATTTATGTCTGAGATTAAAAATATTTTCATTTCTAGTTCATATAAAAAATAAAATTATATTAAAATCAATTCCAAACGCAATCGTTTGGAGACAATTTGGAGGCAAAGATAGAAACACTCGTTTCTTCCACACGTCAATAGACAATAGTTATTGAACGGGGTAAAAATCTCTAGTTTATGAAATAATTTGCGCAGATTTCTATAATTACAGAATTCGGAAACACATTACTCTCGAAATGAAAGAATCTACCATTTTTTTTTCTTTGATAATTACCTAGATTGATAATTAGTTAGTGTTTATATTTTTGGCTCCGAATTAGTAATTTAATGTGAAGAAAGACATAAATATGTCTATGACTTCACTACTTTGTTTAAGAAACGTGATATTGACAACAATTAAAAGAAAAACAAAATTAATCTCG